TCAGACAAGAATTGAACAAAAAAAGAAAACCATAGGCAAATATTAATTATCATAGATGCAAAAATCCTCAATAAGGTATCTATTCAGAGAATGCAACAAATTATTAAACCATGCATCATAACCAAGTTGGTTTCATCCAATAGATGAAAGGATGGTTCAAAATAAGTAAATCAATAACTGTAATATATCACACAAATAGAAGCAAGGATATAAATTTTATGATCATTTCAATAGACACAGAAAAATTCTTCAACAGAATCCAACAACTATTCATGATAAAAAAAAGAAAACTTGATGGCAATTTTTTTTACAAATGACCGACCTTATCTCAATCTTATAAAAGGCGTTTAAGACAAATCCACTATCAACTTCATACTAAATGGAGGAAAAGTCAGGAGTAAACAAGGCTGCCTCCTCTCACCGATTCTGTTTTCAATATAGTACTTGAAACCTTAGCCAGAGCAATCAGGCAAGAGAAATACACAAACTAACAAATAAATATATACATACAGGAAAGAATTCAAGGTATTTTTACTCACAGATTACTTGATCTTTTATATCAAAGATAAAAAACTGCACCAAAAGACCCTTAAATCTAATACAAATTCAGCAATGTAGCAGGATACAAAGTACACAAAAATCAATAGCAGTGATTGCACACATTACCCCCATAACTCAAATCAAAAGACAGAGCAAGTGTGTCCTTTCTTCGGGGAAATCACCAGTAAAGAAGAGTGACTGGCAAATTGCATAGAGGTTGTAAGTGCATGAAATAAATGCTATTGGGTAAGATGTTGCTCTGGCTGCAAACCTCACTCCACTGCACATCAAGAGAATGCAAGTTATACAAGGGGGAGGAGGACTAGGGAACCATTAAGTTTCCCTGCAACCATGGGGTTCCATTAGAGTGTGTGGACAAACCTGCAGATGACTATCAGTGCAAAGCAACGGACAAGCCCAAAGCCATCCCATGGCATTCATTCAAGATTTAGTGTGTGACCCTGGGTATCTGTCCCCTGACTGGTGGGGAAAAGTTTCCCCTTGAGGCTAGAAATAAGTCTTTTCCAAACACCACCAACAAAAGCAAAACAGAGAAATAAAGGAGTTAATAGGAAAAGGAACACTTGAGAGTTGGAAGCCTCTGTCTTCCCACAAAATGAGTTTAGTAATGGGAGGTTGAGGAGTCATTGAGGCAGGGTGCCTCACAGCTGCAACAACAGGTGATCTCTGTGTGACCTGGACCCCCAAAAGAGATGGCCAGAGAAGGGTTGAAGGGAGAAAGGCAGGAGGACATACACCAGAGGCAAAAAGCCAGGTCTGGATCACAAGAACAGGAATTTGGCAGTGTGGGGGAAAGGGAACTTGCCAGCTTCATATACCAACTACTGAAGAAATGTTAAATATTGCTTGCTGTGAATTAAACTTTCTGATGTAACTCTGTGCCAAGAAAGTTCAACAAGACTTGGTGCAGGAACAAATAATACCATTGATTTAATGTAGTAGATGTGCCCAGGTATAACACATACTAAATAAAGCACAATATCCATAAAAAAATCAATAGCATTTCCATATGCCAATAATTAGCCCACCAGAAAGAAATGAAGAAAATAAACCCATTCCTACTACCTTCAAAAATATTAAATGCTTAAAAATTAACCTAACCAAGGAGATAAAATATCTGTGTAAGAAAACCTGTAGTAATCTGAGATTGAAGAGGACACCAGAAAATGGAAGGAATATCCCTATTCCTGGATAAACAGAATCAATATTATCAAAAAGGCCATATTACAAAAATGATGTATAAATTTAAAGGAATTCCAAAAACTCAACAGCATTTTTCACAGAAGTAGAAAAGAATCCTAAAATTTTTATGGAATCAGAAGAGAAAAAGAACAGCTAAAGCAATCCTGACCAACAACAGCAAGGCAAGAGTCGTCAAAATCCTGGATTTCAAATTATATTACAAAGCTACAGTGATAAAAATAACATGACACTGGCACAAAAGCATACGTTTATCAATTGAATATAACCGAAGAAGCAGCAAATACGCCATGGTCTTTCAGCCATCTGATTTTCAACAAAGGTTGCAAAACACAATGGAAAACAGAATGCCTCTTTTTAAAATTTTTAAATGAATATTTTAATGTACCCTTCATATAATTTTGCACATACTTTACATTTTAATCTCTAAAGAAGTGGAGAAAAATTTGGACTCTAATTTACAGCTATAAGGATAACACTGCAATTTGAGAAAGATTAGACATGCTGCTAAATCCTGCCAATGTAAACAAGATAGATTTTCCTCTTCTTTGTTTAAATAATTTAATGTTGCACTTATATACTAAAATCCTTTCTGCTCATGCCACCACTACTAGTGAAGTTTAAAATATAACCTGAGTAATTAGCCTGATAGTTTTTTCATACTCATAGGATTAATTCTCCTAATTTCTTTATAACCATGTTTGAAGGATCAGTTAGCTGTCCAGTTCTGTATACTATCCTGAATAGACCTGAGTGTGAAATATTTCCAAGGGAACACTACTCTGTAGAGAAAAAAAATTCGTAGAGACAATTTATAGAAATGATAAATAAACCTACTTATGTAAGGAAAAGTAATGTGACCACACTTCTGTAGCCTGGGTAGTCACAGAGTCTGAACAACTCAATATAAAAAAAATTGAATTTAAAAAATGCAAATGACATAGACATTTCTCTAAAGAAGACTTTAAAATATCCGATAGATCTGTATAAAGGTACTTATCACTACAAATAAGTAGAAAAATGTAAATGCAAACCTCAATTAGATATCACCTTATATCTACTTGGATGAACAATAAAAACATCTGAAAATATAAATTTTGCTGAGATTGTGTGGGGAAAAGGAACTCCTTTACACGGTTGGTAGGAATGTAAAATAGTACAACCACTGTGGATATCAGTATGGAGATACCTCAAAAAAAGTAAAAATATAAATTCCATTCGACCTAGTTATACCTCTTCTCAGTGTATTTCCAAATGAGTTAGACATCATATTACAGTGATATATGTCCACCCATGTTTATAGCAGCACAACTCATAACATCTAAATTTGAAAATGGCCTATATGTCCATCAACAGCACTAACAACCAAAGAATACTCTACCCAACAGAGCACACGTAGTTTACAAGTACCCCCTGAACATATACCTAGATGTACCATATCCTAATTCATAAAGCAAAATTTAACTGTTTTAAAGTATTTGATCTCAGAGTATGTTATTTGACAATAATGGGATCAAACTAGGAATCAATTAAAAATCAGGAAAATCCATATATACTTTAAACTATAAACTTAAAAAAAAGTGAATGCAGAAGTCTGAAGGGAAATAAAAATACACAGAATTTGGGCCAGGGATTTAGCTCAATGGTGCTGCCACCTGTCTCACAACGCAAGGTCCCAAGTTCAGTCCCTGATACCAAAGAAACAAACAAACTAACTAACTAACTAAAACCCCTCAGAACTGAAATAAAATGAAAATTAAAAAAAAACAAAATTGGCAGGACATATCTACCATTGTGCAAGGAGGAAAACTTATTACTAATTGTTTATATTGGAAAACAAGAATGGTCTTAAGGCAATAATTTAAATTCCTGTGTCAAGCAACTTGATGAAGAAAATCAAAGTAAAACAAAAGCAAGCAAAAGAAGGAAACATCATTTTAATTGTTAAAGGCATTAAAATTCTATTATTTTTATCAATTTGAAAATAGAAATCAATGAAAATGTAAAAAGAAAACAGGGAAGACCAACGATATTAAAATCTGCTTCTCTGAAAAAAACATTAGAATTGATAAACCTGTAGTAAGACTGAGAAAAGGAAGAGATGACACAAACTATTAGTACCATGAATTAAAATAGGGATTACCAACGCATATTGCGGCAACTAAAAAGGCAATAAGGGAATACTATAGACAACTATACACATGAACATGTCCTATGTTTTTCAACTTAGATGAAATGGACTGCTTGCTTTCTTGAAAGAAACAAGCTACCACAGATCACACAGTATAAAACAAATTATTTAAATGGCCTCATAAATATGCAGGACTTAACTTGGAGTTTTAAAAAATTCACAAGAAAACCATCTTCAGACTAGAGAACTCAATCAAATGTTTAAGTTAAAATTAATAGTAGATTTAGTCTTTTCTGGAAACCTGAAGAGGCAAAAATAATTCTCAGTTCTTTTTATAAAGTTACTACTACCCTGATATTAAAAAGAACAAAACTGCTGGTGTGATGGTGCACACCTGTAATCCCAGCACTTGGGAGGCTGAGGCAGGTGGATCATTGTGAGTTCGAGACCAGCCTGGGCTACACAGTGAGTTCCAGAGCAGTCTGAACTACATAGTGAGACCCTGTCTCAAAAAACAAAAAACAAAAAACAAAAACAACAACAACAACAACAACAGCAGCAGCAACAAAACTAAACTAAACTAAAAATCATTTACATGTAGAAATTCTCAGAAAATGATGTTCAAAGAAAGAACCTTTGAATACACTTGGATGGGCATCCTCTTTTCAGATAAAATATCCAGGGTGCTCCTAATATTTAAGTTCTAAGAAGCATATACAGTCCCATACTACCATATCTCTATCATACTATGTTTCGTTAAAAATATTTGTTTGAAAAATACATCACATGTACAAGTAAAAATTACCTATGATGGGTGTTATCATTATGTATATCTAAAATGTACCAATAAAATAAAAATGTAAAAAAGAAAAGAAAACTGCATCACCATGCTCATTACTTGGATGATCAACAAATGTCTAAAGACAAATACAGTATTTCTAGAATGACTTCCTGAATTTTAATCATTCAGTACTAGTTTTTGATGAACTGATTAAACTATACTGCAATTAAAGTCTAATTAACCCTTGTGAGATATGATTTTTAATTTGGTACTTTCTGTTCTTAATTAAGAGGCATAATGTAGAATATTTTTTAATGTTGATCTCACCTGTAGAATATAGCGAATTTGCTGTTTTGTGAACTCTGACAATCCTTTAGGAATCAATGACTCAATGTCTTCTGACTGTAAGGAAAGAGAAGCTTATCCATTGAACACTTTAATTTTTAAAAAAATATCTAGGGTCATCCATCCACAGAATTTACATTATAAGACACAATTTTAAGGATATTTAGAGTAACTATTTGAGGAGTAGTTTCAACAAACTTCATTGTTCTTATTCGAATTAAAAATTGTATATGTGGGGCCAGGGATATAGCTCAGTGGTGCCGCCACCTGCCTCGCAAGTGCAAGGTCCTGAGTTTGATCCCTGGTACCAAAAACAAAAACAAAAACAAAACTGTATATGTACAAAAATATTTCTAGTTGCTGGCATATACAAGCTTTTGAAGCATATAAAAACTAAATTGCTGTTTATTTTGTTGATTAAGTAGATTTCAGTTTTCTAAAGCTGAGAATAATATGTGATCAAGGAAAATTTAAATGTTCTGCTAAAATTGAATCCTAAAGTGCCAACTGATAAAACATTTTTTGTGAATGATTTTTTTTATACCCGCTCCAAAAATTTAATTGACAGTTATATTATACTAAAGGCAAAATAATATTTATTTCATCAACCTGTATTTTTGGTCTGACATATATACTAAATTAAAATGATATTATTAGTCAAATATCAAAATCTACTATATCTGATTTTAAATATTTTTGTACTTACTGTGTCAGTAGACTCAAAGTCTTGTTTGCTGTAATAATAACAAAGAAGACAATCTTAGAAAAATTCATTCACTGATCATACATACATGCTATTCTGTTAATTTTATATTTTTGATGTCACAATAGTACCAATTAAATTTATAATCACAAAGAAAAATTAATACTATCTAAAATAGCACTTTTAGTTAATTTGATTTAAAAATTTTCCAGCACTAGTTGACCTATTGAAAATGAACAACATCTAAGAGCCGGGCGTGGTGGCGCATGCCCGTAATCCCAGCACTCAGGAGGCTGAGGCAGGAGGATCTCTGTGAGTTCGAGACCAGCCTGGGCTACATAGTGAGTTCCAGGTCAGTCTCAACTACATAGTGAGACCCTGTCTCAAAAAAAAAATTAAAACAAAGAAAATGAACAACATCTAAGTAATAAACTATACAGAATTGGTTAGTATTCCTATTTCCACAGGTCCATTTGAGGCTAGATGTAGAAGTCCTCAGTACTTGACAATAAATGCTGCCTGGGTAAATGAAATAAAAATAAGCTTTCTCTTTGTTTCCACCTCCTTGTTCTCCATGTGTTACTCTCATTTGTTGTTTGTTCCAGCTTTTCTTTACTATCTTTTCAACTTATTTATAATTTTTTTATTCAAAGATCTGAACGTGTAAGGTAAGACTAACTCATTCAGTGTATTCTATGGCAGCGAAGAGGCCAGAAGGTTATTTGAATCTTTACATAAGACAAAACTTCAAAAGAAATGACCAAAATTCTAGTGGAGTAATACAATTCCTGGCATCAAAATGAGTGTATTGGTATGGGAATTTAGAGACCTTTACTGGAGCCAAATGCTTTAGGAGAATTGATAATTCTTATAAAACTAACTAGAAGTTACTCCTTCTGGAATGGTGAAAATGGGAAAGGATACTATTGTTATTATTGTCAGGGGCAAGAGTGAATCTTTTATTTTAATTTACTTTCTGTCTCTACACTTGGTGAAAGAATTGGGCCAAAATATATATGGTGAATATATTTCTCAAAAATAACCACTGTGTATATTTTCTAACAGAAAGAGACTAAAGTAAGATTTTTGTTGTTGTTTTATGTTTTGACACAGGGTTTCACTATGTACTCCAGGCAGGCCTTGAACTCAATATGTATCCTAGATTAGTCGAATTCATGTCTAACTTCCTGCCTCAGCCTTCTGAGTGCTGGGATTGCAGGCAAGCACCAGGTAGAATAAGAATTTTATCACATTAGGAGCTACATTTACTTTTCAAATAATTGTTTACTAATACTATACTGCTTACAGAGATAAGTGGGTCACTCAGTGTGCAAAATCTCCTAGATGTATTTATAAAAATATACAAGCTAGTGTGGAAAAAAGAACTGTATTTTTTAAAGTCCTAACTATAAATGTACAACTGCTTACATGCATGTATGTAGTATGCTCTTGTTACTCAAAATAGAAATTGTGGGGAGGTCTAGCAAAAATAAATTATCTTCTATTTTTAATGGTTTATTAAAGCAATTATATGTATATATTTGAAGCTAAGATAGGTTAAAAACATGGATCACAATGCAGCTTCAATAGCTCTGCATCAATATTTGTAGGATTTATACTATTAATAGATAACTTTGTGTTTAAAAATACTAATCTTTCCTTCTTCCAATTTCAATGTCCCTTTAGTATACATGTCCCCAGTCACTTGCTTCTTTGTGTAAATAAGAATATAAAACAATAAGCAAAACAGGGACCAATAAATGATGTTTTATATTAGAATCTTAAATAGTAATCAGAATTATTCTTTGAGACAACCTTCCTTAAGTCTTACACATAAGTAGAATATAAACAGTGGTTGGTTGGCAATGGGACTATATCTTATAGAATAAATGTAATATCTTAAAACAAGTGCTAGTATAACATGTGTTTTTAATCAAAACTCAACCTTTCAACCCATTCATTGTTGAATTGCATTTTGGAAATAGATGAGTAGAGACCAAATCAACGAACAAAGTGACAGGAAAGAGGGCAGATCAGGAAGATAGAAAGATTAGTAGGAATTATATCTCCATTTAGCACTAGGGAATGGTGACAATATAATCTTCGTGCAAAAAAAAGAGTGACTCACTATGTCAGTTACTGGATAGGAAGAACTGAAATGATAAAAAAGAAGAAAAAAGGAGAGAGAAATTGAGAAGTAGGAGAGCAACAAAGAGAAAGAAATCGACAGCCTGCTGACAAATGAAAATTCTCGAGCACCAAAATTTTATAAGACTTTACTCTGAAGTGTTTACTAATTATGAAATAATTTCAGTTCCCTTGCTCAGTTACTCTTTCTTCTAGTAAGTACAAGGCAAAAAAATGGAATATATTTAAGTCAAATTATATAAACTTATTGAGTTTTACAAATATCATATACTCTGAACTCTTAGGCAATGCAAAATATGAATAGTATCCTTTCCTATACTTTATACAAACTTTAAGTATTCTGAGGCAAATTTTAAGCAATGTAAAATCAGCCCTAACCTGGTATCCTTTTCAAATTCAATGATGCAAAAATTAGTAGTTCTTTAAATTTGTGTGCATTATATTAAGCAATTTGCCTGGCATTATACATCACTGAAAACTTAAGTGATTTTCCTAAGGAATAAAGGTTTCCAGAGTGTAGGTTCTAGTTCCATCTATACATAACATCAATGCATAATTAGATGTTCTTCATAATATTATATAACAATTCTATGTACATTAATGAATTCTAATTAATGATTTATATGCAGTAAATATATACTATATGAAATTAATATATTATACCAAGTGAATTTATAACATGTGAAATACAAATTAAACACCAGCTTTTATATATTAAACACACATAAGTAGAATATAAACAGTGGTTGGTTGGCAATGGGACTATATCTTATAGAATAAATGTAATATCTTAAAACAAGTGCTAGTATAACATGTGTTTTTAATCAAAACTCAAAAATTGTACATATTTATGAAATATCATGTAATGTTTAGATACATGCATATGTACATTAAATCCTGCAAGTAATAGTAAACATATTTATCTTCTTTGTGTTAAAATCTTTCAAAACCCTTTGTTACAGTTTTTGAAATATACAATATATTATTGTATCTCTGGTCATCTCACTGTCCAAATACACTAGAATTTCATGCTCCTAACTGTATCATTGATAAACCTTTCTCTATCCCAACTCCCCTACTATTGTCCTCTGGTAACTGCAATTCTACTCTCAATTTCTATGAGGACAGCATTTTTAGATTCCACATATGAAAGAGATCATGTGGTCACGTGATTCTTTGACTTTCTCTGTCTGGCTTATTTCACTTAACATAATGAGCTCCAGTTCTATCAATGTTGTCACAAATGGCTAGATTTCATCTTTTATGGCTTAATACCATTCCAATGTACACATTACCCCATTTTTATATATTCTTTAGTTGATGGACACCTAGAATGTTTCCATTTTTTTTTGCTATTGTGAACATTCCGGCAATGAAAATGAGTACAGATGTCTCTTTAGTACACTAATTTCAATTCCTTTGTATATATACCTAGGATTGATATAGCTGTATCATACATTTGTTCTATTTTTAATTTTTTGAGAAACCTCCATACTGTTTTCCATAATGGCTCTACTAATTTACATTCTCACCAACAGTGTATGAGAGTTTCATTTTCTCCACATACTTAAAAGCAGTTGTTATCTTTTCATTTTTTACATGCTCATGCATTTTTTAGTTCTTGGCCCAAGAAGCTGATTTGCCTTCCCAGTATTTACAAAAAAGATATACAAGATTATTGGCTGATCACGAAAGTGTTGGTGTATCTTTGTCTAATAATTTTCATAAACTACATTAACTCTTACATCTGCTCAGCTTTACACATATAGCTGCCCCATTAAAAATATTGGATTTCTGCTATGAACTTAAAAATTCTCTATAAAAATCTAAAAAGTATAAGAATGTAGTTAAATATTTAACAGGTAGAACATTGAGAGAAAATGCATGTTTACAATACCTTCCTCCAATTCTCTGCAAATGTTCTAATAAGCAGTGATATAGATCAGTATTCTTACGACATAGGTCAGCAAGCAACTCTCCGAAATACTTGGGATCCAACTTTTCAGGGCCATCATCCTGAATTATAACCTGAAGCAAATATCAATAACAATTATGAAGAATATTATGTTTTTCTAAGTTCACTGATATTTTGATTTTAAACGAGAAAAGTAAAATTACCTATTAAAATTATCACATGAACCAAGCCACTAAATTTTCCTTGCATATCAATAATTTATTTTTTCAAAATGTAATAATATTATAACAGCATTTTAAATTTCATTAAATTCTATGTAATAAAATGATTGAAAAACTTTATTCACAAAAATCTTGAATAGAGGAATTTAAATAAAACAGGACAATAAATTAATTAAAAAATCTCTGATTTTTCCTATTATTACCAGATGGCTTTCTCATCTATCTCCTATGAAGAAAAATGTGAATTATTTGAATTATATTGATTATAAAAAATAATTTTCATTTGACTTGCATATTCTCAATGAAAGCAAACTTGGTTTATTAGCTAGTCTTTAAATTAGAATAATAAACACTCAATTCAATGTGTTTTATGTATTTTTTTTCAAAACAATTTTTTTTTGGTACCCGGGATCAAACTCAGGGCCTTGCACTTGTTAGTCAGATGTGTTTTATGTACTTTTATTGGATTTCTTCCATTACTATTTGGACTGAATATTTAGTCAATCCAACTTGGAAAAGAGTAGCTCAGGGCCAATAATAGAAAATTCAGAGACCTAGAGACATTTGAAATCCTAAACACAAATTATTGTGAATAGTCCTAAATTGTGGTAGACTAAGCTGCTAGCCTGTCCTAAGTAAAAACCAAACAGCTTCGATGTTGACCCGCTGATCACCCCATCAACACAGTTGTGTCGTTACCCATGACAACGGGTTTACGTAAAGAAGTGATCTAGGTCATTACCCAGTAACATTGTGTTATACTATTGTTACATTCTCCTCCCAAAGTTTATGAAACTCTTTGCGGTCTCCTTCTCTCTGCGCCCCTCTTGTCCCATTTCCAGGTATTTCCCCTTCTCGAGCTCTGCCAATTACTGACCCCGCGGGCCGGGGCACTAAATTAGACATATTTTATTGGTATCATATCAGTTAGCACCAATATTTTCACTATTATTGGCTACCATTCCTGTATCCCCAAGATGCACTGCTGAGAGGATAACTTAGGTCATACTCCATTTTAATTCTGACATTGCGTGTAGAAACAAGTGTAATAAATATACAGATGACAAATGGTTCAAATTTGCCCACTGATACTTCCTTTCCAACCTGTTCTCTGAATGCAAATTACTCATGTTGAGGCAAATGCAGGGATCACAAAGTAAACAAAGATGAGCTTTATTTTTTTCTTCTTTCTTTATTAGTACATGCCTGCAGTACATATTGAAGGTATATGTACATGACATATATTAATTCCTTTTGTGTCTCCTTCCTATAGTTGCTCCATCTCTTGGTCCCTTTCCCATTTGTAAAAGGTCTGTCTTCCTGTTTCCTATTGTCTTTTAATTTTGCTCTTTAATTTTTCTTTGTAATCTTGTATATCTGATTTATTTCACTTAACATTATGGATTCAAGGTGTATACATTTTTCATAGTCACATCTGTGACACGAAAATCAGTTTATAAAATACAGGTCAGTATGAAAAATTACAGGATACAAAACAGTGTATTATCACATTTTATTAAGATATCTATATTTATAGTTTTAAAAATCTGGATGAATATAGCACAATTTAATTATCTTATAAATGTACCCTTTGGAGTTGCTATCTTAGAGAGGTAATGATTATCTCCTGAACAGTGTAAAGTGCCCTATATGAGAGAATGAAGTAGATAAACTTGTAAAAGTCAATATCCTCACATACTATGTTTAAATTTCATAAAATTTATTAGCGTACACAGATAGATAAGGATACCATATGAAAATATAAACTGGGCATGGTAGCGCATGCATGTAATCCCATCATTTTGAAAGCTGAAGCAAAAGGATTGCCATGAACTCAAGGCCAGCCTGGGCTACATGGTAAATGTAAGTCCAGCTTGGAATATATAGGAAGACTCTATATCAAAAGTCCAAAAAATATGAAAATATAGATTCATATACCTATATATTCAATATAAAACTTTAAAATGCTTACATCATGAACATAATAAAATTCTTTCCCAACGTGTTCTCTGCATCAGTCGTAGTAGAATTCAAGGTTTTGGGCACATCTCACACTATTCCTGCCTTTGGGTCTTTACTCACATTCTTCACTTTACTATCTCCGTGAAAATTGAAACTCTGGGGCTGGGGATCTAGCTCAGTGGTTCTGCCTTGCAAGCATAAGGACCGGAGTTTGATCCCTGGTACCAAAAAACAAAAACAAACAAACAAAAAAGAAAGTTGAAACTCTGTCTGAAAATTTAATTTAGCTCTTTGTGCTCAATTATTTTTATAAAATATTTTTATTTATTTATTTTTTGGTACCAGGACTTTGTATTTGTAAGGCAGGTAGCAGCACCACTGAGCTAAATCCCTGGTCCTTGAATTGTTTTTATATTGTTTTATTGATATAAGTCTTGTTCTACCAGCACCTTCTTCCTACCAAAAAAGAAATAAGCAAATTTAGGGATAAAGAATGTCATATTTTTTGGTATATATCTTGGCAAAGCATGACACTAACTACACGTTCTATAGCTATTCAATAAGTATTTGAGGAATTGAAAGAAAATCATCTACCTGATTAGGACTGATCTCAAATGCCTGCTGATTCTGAAGGAATTTTCTTACAGATGTCTCTTTTAAAGCAATCCATGAGGAATGGTTAAGAAAGTAAAAAAAGAATACAGGCAGTATTTCCTCAAGAATAGTGTGGTGACACCCTTTCCTTCTTCCCCAAAGTAAAAAACAAATAAATTGCAACAAGTAAATAGAATTTATAGAGTTGTAGGCTGACATTTCCGTTCTACCTAGACTTCTGAATATTGACTATTATCTCTTAAGTGAAAGGATTCTGTCAGAAAATGATGGTCAAACTATGGAAACCTTTATTCAGAATAAGCATGAATACTCAAGTGGTGATTTTTTACTTTACTCGTTTTTTTTTTCCCTCCTGTTATAATCATCATAAACGGAGTGGCCTAAAGCATGGCTTCATTTCGTTAGCCAAGGTCATTCAAGTGCTGAGCTTTCTTATTAGAATTTCCAAAGAACTAATTTGATACATTATACATGTAGCATTTCACATAATTTTTTCTGTTAGCTAATTATAATCCTCTTGTAATATGGTGAAAATCATGCTGCTTTCCCTCCCAGTTTAATTTATTTAACAGGATAATTTTATAGCTGTGGATTGTCTTAAAATATTTACATTTTGGCAAGGCATTAAGGATTAAACCCAGGGCCTTTGCACTGAGCTACATCCCCAGTTTATTTGTATTTGTTTTATGTTTAGATAGGATCTAAGTTGCCGAGGCTAGTCTCAAACTTGCAAGGCTCTTTCCATAGCCTTCCAGAGTGCTAGGAACACAAACGTGTATCACCACATCTGGAAATATTTATTTTTTTGCACAAATAGTCTCCTGTCATTTTGCTGCACATTGGTAGACCTTTTAGGTACCTAATTCTTTGCCCACATGAATAGTTGTGCCATTAATGAAATTTTACTCATGATTTCTGTGTGGTGAATTTAGTGCACTCAAAGAATCACAGAGGCTGGGACATAGAATGATTGAGTTCAATATTTTGTATGTGGTGAGAGCTAGAAAAGAGGTGATAAAAGCTTTTAAAGGAAAATGATTTAATTCTGAGAAAATGTAATAACTAATGTTTATTTACTATGTACCATGTGCTGGCAGGCAGTGCTATGCACTTCACGTAAACAAAAAATGAGTCAACATTGCCTCATATTTAGTATATTGTTACTACACTCTGTTATCTTCTTAGCTGGGATAAGACTATTGCTTTCTCAGTGTAGAAGTATTCAAAATAGGTCTAAAATTCAGATAATATATTTTACTTATATAGAGAGTTAAGTAGATCAAAATTGAAGAGTGGGTTTCTTTTGATGAATGTAAAGTTATAAAAGCAGAAGCAAAAATTCACCCTTATGTGGGTATATTCCTTCTTAGCTTATTTTTCAGTCTACAGTTTATAATAACAGTTGAGTAAAACTCAGTAAAAAACAAAACCTACTTGAGTTCAAATGTTTGGAGGCATGAAGACTGAGAGGTCAGATTCTTACCTGTTGACTGTGATGGGATTAATATTCAAAAAACATGAAATTTTCTTCTTGGGGGCGGTACTGGGGATCGAACTCAGGACCTTACACTCATGAAGCAGGTGGAAGAACCACCGAGCTAAATCCCCAGGCAAAAAAACATGAAATTTTCTAATCACAAACTGGGATATTCCAGTTAGCAATATTTTCCATTGCTAAATCATCTCCTCAGAGCTTCTTAATTTTGTTAGATTGTATTTGGTTGTATTTTCTCATACCTTTTAGAGTTGGTGTAAAGCCATGTTCTTGTCTTGAGAAATCCAATATATGAGATTTGCTTAAGAAATATTCTTCTGCCATGAGCCAGAAGAATTATAGTGATAGAGGCTTTCTGTCTGTGACAATGCTGATTTGATAAGATACTTGATATATACATATACTACATATTTACTCATCTACCCAATGAAAGGGTGCCATTTCAAATGTCAAACTCAGATAACTTTAGCTGTTCACATATAAACAGGGAGGGAATACAGATTGCTGAAGAGTACTTCCCAGCTAAGCAAAATTTGGAATTTATTTTAAAAATTAGAAAAATTATTAAATATTCTTGGGCACGCATCAATTAAGTACCTTTAATCAAATCACTGCTTGGTTATAATAATGATCAAGCTGTGCAACTCCTTGCTTCTGATTTCAGGTAAGAAGTCCTTGATAAACATTGTTCTAACAAATTCAAGGCAAAGAACAGTGTTAAAGTGTGCAGCCACAGGCAAATTAATAGTAATTTTAAAGAAAATCTTTGAAAAATGAATACTTTTTAAAGGCAAACTATGGACCTCACCTCACTACTACC